TGTATGAGGCACTGGGTTCAATCCTCAGCACCACATAAAAAACAAATAAAATAAAATAAAGGTATTGTGTCCATCTACCACTAAAAAAAAAATAATAAGAGTGTGTGTGTGTGTGTGTGTGTGTGTGTGTAGAAAGAGAGAGAGAGAGAAAAAATAAGACATAATTATCATTAAAATGCCACAGTAGCCCATTCATAAAATTAAGCTGCTTTTAAACACTATAATCTGAAACTAAAGATGGCCCTGGGGAAAAAGAAAAAAGATTCCTAACATACCAGTCACTCACAGATGCTTTTGCTTACCCTTCTTAAGATGTGAATCTCACTAAGATTCAAACATGATAACGATGCTGCAAAGGGCTTTGACTTGAGCATCCACTAAATATGAGTTTTATTTCTAGTTCTGCTTTTTACTAGATATATGGACAATTTGTCTAATGTTTCCAAGTTCCAGTTCTTCCTCTTAAATAGGTCAATATGTGCTGCATAGAGTTTCAGGGAAGATTATTAAAATAACAAGCAAAACTCTCGGCACAGAAACTATACACGTTCAACAATTATGCCTTTCTGCCTTCCTTTATTTTCTTTATTTATTTTTTTTTTTTAAACTTTAATGACTATTTTTTAGTTTTCAGCAGACACAACATCTTCGTTTGTATGTGGTGCTGAGGATTGAACCCGGGCCGCACGCCTGCCAGGCGAGCGCGCTACGGCTTGAGCCACATCCCCAGCCCCCCTTTATTTTCTTTAAAAGAGTAACAAAGTAAAGCCAGGTGCAGTGGTGCACTCCTGTAATCCCAGTGGCTCAGGAGGCTGAGGCAGGAGGATCACAAGTTAAAAGCCAATCTCAGCAATTTAGTGAAGCCCAAAGCAATTTAGTGAGACCCCCCGTCTCAAATTTTAAAAAGGGCAGGGAATGTGTCTCAGTGGTGGAGTGCCCCGGGGTTCAATCCCAAGTCCAGTGGCGGAGAAAAATAAAAAAAAAAAAAAAAAAAAAAGTAGAAGAAATGAGTAGAAGTGCACACAAGTAGAACAGATGAAACCACTGAAGCATGGCTAATATCTTAGCCTGGAAGATAGATCAAAGTTTCTCCACTTCTTCTCAAAAGGAAAGAAAAGTTAGAATAGTGACAGATGTAGAAAATGTTTAGATTCTCTTACTTTACTTTCTATAGGCTTGATAGATTGTGATTAAAAACCATGGTGCCTCTCCCATTCTCATCTACTCATTCACTTGGTCAAAAACATACCGTGCTGGGATGTGGCTCAGTGGTAGAGCACTTGCAAGTGCTAAGTACAGACAAGATACTGATTGTAGACACTGTTCTGTCAAATGGTGAATAAGATAAAAACATTTCCTCTGTACATTATAAAACTGTAGTTCATATGTTGAAGTCTTAAGCCCAATACCTTAGGATGAGGCCTCATTTGGAAATAGGGTGTTTACAGAAGTAATCAAGTTAACATGAGGCCATTAGGATGAGAACCCTAATCCAATAAGACTGATTATGTTTATTAAAAGGACATTTGGACACAGAGGAATACCTAGAAAACAGATGATGGGAAGAGAAATAGGGAGAAGCAACCATCAACAAGCCAAGGAGAGAGGCCTAAGATAGACCCTTCCATCATGGTCCTCAAAGAAACCAACCCTGCTGACACCTTGTTTTGAACATTTAGACTCCAGATTTGTGAGACAATAAATTTCTGTTATTTAAGCCACTCCGTGGTACCTTTGTTATAGTAGCCCTATCACACAATTAGAATATAAACATAATTAAATATTATTTAGAAATAATATTAACTGACAATAACTGTGGCTATCTTGTCAAAAGTTTAAAATTTCTTACACATTCTTGCTTTAATTTTTCACTTATCACTTTCTAAAACAATAGAATATACACTCCAAGAGTTTTTGTCTATATTGTTCATTCATATATCACCAGCAGCTAGCACATATCTAGCATATAATAAGTACTAAGAAAGCTTGTACTGAATGAATAGTAAAGAATGATAAGGCCAGACAGGCATCTCTTAAGGACAGGGATATAGCCTAAGAAACGCCATCACTGTGCATACATCACAGAGCACAAACCTAAATGCTCTAGTCTGTTACACTCCTGGGCTTATTGCCCCTATACTACAGTCCTATATAGCATGTAACTGCACTGAATACTGTAGGAAACAGTAACACAACAGTGAGTAGAATGCCACTAGGCAATAGGAATTTTTCAGCTCCATTATAAACTTATGGGACCACTGTCACAAATATAGTCTGCAATTGAAAGAAACATCTTTATGCAGCACACGGCTGTAAAGGAAACCTTACCTTGGCTGGGAAGTCAGGAGGGTTTCCCATGAAAACTACAATTAATCTAATAATGAGGTGGGAGTGTAGATAGGGCCACAAATACAATTAAGAGGTGACAACTCAAGACAAAGTGAGAAAAGCATAACAAAGGTCCTGCTGCAGCAGCAAAGAACTTGATAAAAGAGGTAGGGGAGAAGAAGAATGAGGCAAATGAGGTAGGCAATCCAGACTCAAGGAATAACAGATTTTATTGAGTCTTATCTGAAGAGTAATGGAAAGACACTGAAAAGTTTTTGATAAAGGCAGAAGAGCATCAATGTCACAATCAAAAACCAAGTAATTTCAGAAGGTAGTTTGTATTGGTGCTGGGGGATTGAACCCAGGGAGTCATTTAAAGGGAAGAATAAGTGCACAGAATCAAGAACTATTTAGAAAATAAGAGACTGACAGAACTTGATGATGAACAGAGAGTCAGGAAAGAAAAAAAAAAAAAAGGTCAATATGAAGAATAAAGAATCAGAATGGCAAGCTAGTTATTGAGAGCAAGTGGGAATGCAGAAGGCAATGGAGGAATACCTTCTAATTCAGACAGAAAAAAAATCTTTCCAATCTCAAATTCTACAACTAGCCAAATTATTAGTCAATAATAAACGTATTACTCACTGTTATGTAAGATCTCAAAAAGTATTCCTCCATATACCCTTTCTTAAGACTTTTCCAGGAAAATGTATTTCACCAAACCAAAAAAAAAAAGGGGGGGGGGGGAGAGAAAAGGCAGATTTGGATACTAAAAACAGAGGAGGGAAGAGAGCAGAATCTCCAGAAGATTCCATGTGAGAGACCAAACAAGCAACCAAAGGAGGCTTGAAAAGTATAATAGAGGTTAGAGAAAGTTCTGGGGGAAAACACTGCCAAATAATTAAGTTGACAATGTATGTGTTTAAATGTATTAAAGTAATTTATACTTCAGGAGGAATGTTCAGAAATATACCCATAGTAGACAAATAGAAAACTAAATGTTTTCCTAAAAGGATTACATCCATACTATGTGTGTGTGTATATGTGTGTGTGTGTGTGTATATATATATATATATATATATAATGTATAAGTTGTAAATAATGTATCTAACCTAAATAATGATCTAATAAAACATTATTATGTAACAATATTCAAAGGATAAGAGGGAGGCAAATGGAGGGGTCAGAATATATGAAAGAGCTAAATCTTCATTTTTCCATATTATTAACATGTCAATCATAAAAAAAAAAAAAAAACTGAAAAACTTCAAGAAATAGAGTTATCACCCCTCCACCAGTTCTGGATATTGAACCCATGGGTGTTCTGCCACTGAGCTACATCCTCAAACCTTTTTATTTTTTATTTAGAGACAGGTTTTCATTAGGTTGCCCAGGCTAGTCTCAAACTTGTTAACTTTCTACTTCAGCCTCCCAAGTTGCTAGGATTGCAGGCATGTACCACCATACCTGACCTCCTATATACTTTAAATCATCTTCAGATTACTTTTAATACCCAATACAATGTCAATGCTATAAGTAGTTGTTATACTGTAATCTTTTACATATATATATATATGCGTGTGATATATATATATATATATATTTTTTTTTTTTTTTTTAACCAAAGGCATAATAGCCGTCACCTTATGGGATAGGAGGCAGGTTGTTGCTGGAAGAGAGATGAAATTGATGGTTTAGGCCTCATAGATATATCTGATTTTTAAAAACTACATGCATATAAAACATTAACGAAATGTTTACAAGAAGAAGATATATCAATAACCTACTTGGAGACTGACACAAATTAAAATATATGATTAAACTGTAAGGCTAGCTAAATCTACATGTGTAAACCTGGTTTTTGTTTCTACCACTTTTAACAGTTTCTGTAGGACCAGTGGAGAAACAATCTAGCTGCTTCTCCCCAGTTTGATCAGACTGTATCACTTTTCTTTTTTATATTTATTCATTTACAATTTAACATTTGCTTATTTCTTTTTTATTGGTACATTATAATTATACATAATAGTGGGATTCAAAATGTTATATTCATACATGCACATAGTTGGAGCCATCTGAGGAGATTGCTTCCTTCTTATGCAGTTTGAGAGACCAAATCCTGCCCACCTGATTCTAGGCAGGTTCCCTGGCTTAGCTATTGAAAGAAAACAACCAAGGGAACAAAGAATATTCAATTGAGAAAAACAGAATGGTGTTAGCCTGGGAAAGATATATAAAAAGACCATTTAAGGAAAAGAAAGTGATAAAGTTCGGAGGTGTTAAGAATAAAATGAAAACTATTTTTGGCACAATTTGCAAGCTATAGAAGTGTTGAAATTTCTTACAGAAGAATTTTTATTAAAGGCCTGAGGACAGGAGAGAGTCAGGAATGTTCTCAAGCTAGTCTCATCTTCTCACAGAGATGTTTTTAGAGAACTAATTAGTATTTGCAAAGTGTTTAGTGATTAACTCAAAGCTAGTGTCATAAATCAAAAAGCAGGTTCATTGAGTACAAAAGAAGGTCACTGAGTAAACAACTAAAATTCAGTCTTTGAAGTAATATTAACAAAAGTCGTATTGAACATTAACATAAAACAGTTTTTAAAATTTACTTAAGATAAAAACAATCAACCCAAGTTCTTTGCAAATAAAGAAAACTTTGTACAACTTACGATATTTACTGTGAATTTCATCTATTTCCTTTTCTGTTTGGTCCTTCGTAAAAACCATTACCTAAAATAGTCAGAAAAATCTTTAAAATTTCCCCCAAAATGACAAAAATGGAAATACTACAAACTTTAAATTCTCCAATGTATTTAAAGGAAAATAATCTCTTATCTCTGTTTTACATAGATTAAGAACAATTCTTATGTGTTTCCTTTGATGATCATAAATAGTATTCATTATACTCATTACTTTTTTCTCATCAGTAGCAAATGCAACACTGATCCCATTATAATAAAGAAAGTATTAACAAAACAATCCAATAAATTTCCTATTTTCAACATCTCATTTTCCACTCTCATTAATGCAACAGGTAATATTAGAAACTAGAAGACTGGAGACATTTAGCTGATCATTAATAAGACACACCTTCTTATCTGCCTTCTTTCCTTTCTAACCTAAATTCTCCAGATTATATTAGAAAAATCATATGTAGAGAAAATGAAATTAACACAAGACTTCATGTGTTAAATTTCTTATTCTACTTTTAAAATCTCAGAAACTTACCTACATAATTCATCACAATCTCCATTTACAATTAGCACAAAGGCAATAATAATAAAGAGCATAGAAATCCCATTTTCTCTATTACCTGGGTATAAACTTACTTCCCTAAGATCATTGCCTTCCTTACAAAGACATTACCAAGGGTCTAGAAAAATCTACTTGAGAGAGACCCAAACACCTCCTCCATAGTCACAGGACAAAGTGACCGTTTTCTTCTTTGATATCCTTTCCTCAAATGTTAAGCCACAAAGCTAAAAGAAGGCAACAGTGAAAATTTTTATGTTTCTGACTCCCTCAAAAGCTTTGTAGAACACCTAATTCTTATAAACTCTTGTAATTACTTAACATCTCTATAGATATAATTAATCACAGGATTGCATAATTTCAGAGTTAAAAGAGGATCTTAGAAGTCATGTTCAGCCACTTAGTTTTACAGATGAAGATCCTGAAGGCCACAGAGATTAAATAATTGTTCAAATGTGATTGGGCCAATATCAAAGCTCCATTATGCAAAAGCATGGGTTTTTTCCTCAGAACTCCAGCTCATGAACAAATTCTACTTTGGATTGCATTCTGTGTTAAAGTCTACTAAACATAATTGAATCCATGCTAAAATGTTCTGCAAGTAAATCTTATATATTAAATGTAGTCTAGTATATCTCCTACTAAATAATTTTAAAATGGCTGGCTTTAATTTTGGTAGGTATTAAACTTCTCTTCCCCTTATTTCTAACCAGACACTGAAATAGACCATCAACTTACACTTTCGTTGAGTTTACTTGCTTCAAGACGCATCCTGGTCTTTTCCATGTTTTCAAGTTCCTGGACTATTTCAGCAGCTGTTAAAATAAGAACATATAATCATTGTTAATCACATGGTTTTGATTGATGTGCTATAGGTATGAAAGTTGTTAACACTAGAGGAAGCTGGGTGATGGATATATCTCTGTTGTTGTTGTTTTTTGGCACTAGAGGTTAAATTCAGGGACACTGGACTACTGAGCCACATCCCCAGCCCCCCCGCCCCCTTCTTTGTATTTTATTTAGAGACAGGGTCTCACTGAGTAGTTAGCACCTCAATTTTCCTGAGGCTGGCTTTGAACTTGCAATCCTCCTGCCTCAGCCTCCCAAGCCCCTGCGATTACAGGCACGAACGCAGGCATGTACCACCATCCCCGGCTATACCTCTGTTCTATTCTTGCAATTTTTCTAAGCCTAATATCATTTCAACCTAGGTTAAAAAAATATAACATGAAATTAAAACACAGTTTTAGTATAACACAGTTCAAAGTATAACCAAAAGAAAAGTCAAATAATTTTGTTTTTTCCTTTGAATGCATAGGCATAAACAATAATCCCAGTGGAATATGAAGATTCATTTATTTGTATGTTTTCAATTCTTAGGGGCTACCTGCTCAAACTCCAATATGTTAAATGTAGTACAACAGGTTACTTTTCAAAGAGAGAAAAAGTCTACAAATACCAAAGGAAAAAATTCTATTTCTAGAACCTTTACCTATAGGTATAATTACTAATTATACATATCAGAGAGATCTGGAATACACTCTGTCACACATTTGAATGTAAAGAGTATAGAATTTGTAAATGCTATCCTTCTGCATCCAAAATCAATGTATTAAAAATTAAAACCAAGGTACATATGATAGGAATAAGAATCTACAATCTCTATGCTCATTTACATATGAAAGATAATATATGTCTGGAATTTGCTTCAAATAATCCACCGGTGGGGGGAATTGAAAATGGTAGATGAAAAAGAACTTGAGGGTAGTTTGATAATTGCTTAAATTGTGCAGTAGATATATGAGGGAAACCAGTATACTCTTTACTTCTATATAGGCTTGAACTAATTCCTACTAAAGTTTCTTTAAAAAAAAAAAAATCACAAACCTTAAGAGAATCATCTAAGAAAGCAAGCAGCTGAGTGTTTTCCAAGCACTGAGATGTACTTTCTGCCTCCATAATATAGTAAGACCGGTAAAAACAATGTAAATAGTACCTTTCTCTGCTAGAACTTCTCTCCTTTCTAAAGCTACTAAGTCAAGGTAGGTAATATAGGAAAGCAAAAGAACCATATGCATTCTATCCAATTCATCAATTCAAGACAGAGAACATCCAGCATACCTTCTTCTAAGGTTTTAACAAAAAGATCTTAGGATTAGTTACAATTTAGGAGCTTCCTTCCATCTCTTTCAGAGAGAGTTCCGATTCTTTTTAGGATGTAGAGAGTTGGAAACAGAGTCACTCTAACCCTAATGGAAAGAAAAAGCTCATAATCTATAAAACCACAATTGTTTTTTACTTCATTAGATCTAAAATCACCAACTAGCCTGAAACCTAAGACAAGAGAGGTGCCTGGGGTAGGTAGGGTGGGGTCATAAGCACCAGTGAACACAATACAGTGTACAGGAGAAAAACTGGGACTACCCTTCCTCTGAGTAAGAGGATTTTAGTTAAACTTTTTGATGAATTGCAAAAGGCCAAACAAAGGTGGGCTTCCAGGAAGATTAAAGCCCAGGGGGGCTTAAACACAAGGCCCATCACATGCAATGCAGGCTGTTTTCTACTCAGGAGTATCCAGTCTGTCTTTCACTGGGGAAATATAGATAAGAAAAAATTCTCCCTCCAGATTCAGGCATGGGAAAGAAGAGACCCACAGTGCAGGACAGAGATGAAGTCCCAACTAAATCTTTATCCCTTAAGAAATGAAAGGACTAAACCACTGGAAAAGGATCAGCAAAACTGTTGCCCTCAGAATACAAGTAAATCCCTACTACTGTTGGGGAAAGTAAGCAAATAACCACAGACAAAAACCTCTACCCCTGCAAAAGGGTCAAAATCCCACTCCAGGCCCAAACTAGAAGACCACTACACCACTGTGGGTGGTACTGGTAACTGAGAACCCTACTCCTGGGACCAGAATCAAAGGGCCTGCCTGAGACACGGTCTGAATCAGTACAACAGAGAAGGGCCCCTTGCTCTGAGCCAAGAACTGAGCAGGCTCCAAGAGACAAGCAACAGCAAGCTTCCTCCACCACTGGGAAAGAAATGAACATAAGGTACAGGATCACAGGGGAAACCTCAGTTATGCATGGTAGACACATTAAAAAAAAAATTAATGACAACTCACCCACCAACATAAGCTACAAGGGAGTTCTCAAGAAATGTGAAAATTATGTTGCTCTGACGGTAACCATAGCAACAACAAAATCCAAACCAAGTACAAGTATAGACTAAATTTGAAGAATCCCAAGTAATAAAGACCTAGCAGAAGAAGAGACACATCTACTTCTAGGCACAAATACTATATAATACTTCAGTATTCAGATTCTTACATTCTTACATATAAAGTCTGGCTTTCAACAAAGACTTGTAACAGTAATAAGAAAACAAACTCAGATTGCATCAAGATATTAAAATTATAAGACATGGGATACAAAATAACAATTAATAATACACTAAAGATCTAGTGGAAAAAGACAAATAATATGAACAAATGGAGCATTTCAGTAGAAAGTGTATCAGTAGAAATTCTTTCCTTAAAAAAGAATAAAATAGGGCTAGGGTTGGGGCTCAGCGGTAGCATACTTGCCTGGCATGTGTGAGGCACTGGGTTCGATTCTCAGCACTATGTAAAATAAATAAAGGACTATCAACAACTAAAAAACAAAAATTAAAAAAAAAAAAAAGAAGAAAATAGCCAGGCACAGTGTGCATGCCTATAATCCCAGTGACTTGAGAGGCTGAAGCTAGAGGACTGCAATTTCAAAGTCAGCCTCAGCAATTTAGTTAGACCCTGTCTCAAAATAAAAAATAAAAAGGGATGGGGATGTGGCTCAAGGTTAAATGCCCTGGGTTCAATCCCCAGTACCAACAAAATAATAGTAAAATAAATAAAAATGCTAGATTTAAAAAGAAAAAGTAACAGGATAATTTGAAATACTTACGGGGAAAAATAATGAACCTGAAATGGGATTGGTATTATCCAATCTGAAAATAGAGAGAATCCACAACAAACAAAGCATCTAAGCTGTGGGACAATAGCAGAAGAATAAAACAAATGTAATAGAAATCCCAAAGAAATGAAGAGAAAAAAAGAAATAGTTGAAAACCTAATGTCTAGAACTTGCCAAATATAATGAAAGACACCAAATTACAAATGCAAAACAGTCAAAGAACATTAATACAAAATAAAACAAATACAAAAACAAACAACAACGTGTACCCACATAAAATCTTGAAGCCAGAAGGGGAAAAGTATATTACATAAAAAACATCCAGAATTACATCACATCTCTAATCAGAAACTATTCCAGGCAGAAAATAATGCAGTAACATTTTTAAAGCACTGACCCAAAAAAAGTTTACTAATTTAGATTTCTATAACAATGAAGGTATCTTTCAAAAGTTAAACAGAAGAAAAAAATTTAGCAAGATGTTAAATTTAAAAAAAAAAATTCTGAGACAACCACAAACAGACAGGAATTTATTAGCAGTCCTCTACTACAAAACATATTAAAGGAAGTTCTTTAAGCAGAAGAACCAGAAACTGATCTCTACAATAAACAAACTACTGGAAACGGCAATCATAAAGGTAAACGTAAAATGTGCATTTTTCTTTTTAACTCCTCTAAAACAAATTATCTGTTTGCTAGGAAAACAATAGCAATGTGATTCAATCGCACAAAAAATTAAGAACTGAGAATACACTGTTAAAACATTTAATAAACAACTGAAGCAAGCTATATGCTATTTAAAGGTAGACTGTAACTAAGGATATATATTGCAAACCGTAGAGTGACCACATTTTTTGAAAAAAGAAATACTAAGCCAACTGTAAAAATAAAGTGGAACAATAAGAAATGCTAAATCAACAAAAAGACAGCTTTAAAAAAATGATTAAAAGACCAAAAGCAGACAGAAGAAAAAAAATTTAGCAAGATGTTAAATTTAAGCCAACTCCATCAATAATTACATTAAACATGAATGGTCTAAAAGAACCAAATAAAAGACAAAAACAAACTCAGACTGGATTTTAAAAAGAACAAAACCAAATTGCAACAAAAACCTATTTTAAATAAAAAGACAGATTAGAAATAAAAGTATGGACAGAGATATATCATGTAAACACTAATGCAAAGAAGCCTAGAATAGCTGTATTAGCACAAATGGCTTCAGAACAATCAATGTTATCAGGGGTAAAGAGTAAAATTCAAGTGAAAAACAAGTCAATTCACCAAGAAGATGCAATAATCCTAAATGTGCATACACCTATGACAGAAATTAGAAACACATGAAAAAGAACTCCTGATTCCAAACAAGATGGGCTAGACTCATTTCTCCCTCTTCTTCCCCACTAAAGACAACTACCTTGGATACAACAATTTTAAGAGAACACTGAAAGGTACAAAGATGGACTGCTATTTTGGTGCCAATACCATGTCATTTTTGTTACTTTACCTCTGTAGTATAGTTTAAGGTCTGGTATAGTGATGCCACCTTCACTCTTCTTGCTAAGGACTGCTTTAGCAATTCTGGGTCTCTTATTTTTCCAGATGAGTTTCATGACTGCTTTTTCTATTTCTATGAGGAATGTCACTGGGGTTTTGATCAGAATTGCATTAAATCTGTATAGTGCTTTTGGTAGTATGGTCATTTTGACAATATTAATTCTGCCTAAAAAGAACAAAGTAGATTTTTCCATCTTCTAAGGTGTTATTTAATTTCTTTCTTTAGCATTACTAACCCACATAATTACAGTTATCCTATATTAGACAAAGGTGCCAAAAACGTACATTGGAGAAAAGATAGCCTCTTC